ACAGACACACACACAGACACTTACACACACACAGACACGCGCACAGACACACACACAGACACACACACACACACACACTTGTGGTATTTCCCAGAGGAAAGTAGTCTGATTCCGTCTGCATCTTTTCCGTCATCTTGCAGAGGCCTCTGACATATCTTTTGAAGTATGGGATCAGCCCGTAGCCACCCATGTTCATGCGACAAGCAAAGTCTGGTGAGCCAAAGTACACTTAAGCTGAGCGGAAGCAACAGCCAGAACAGCATCACTTTCTCCGATTGGGGAACCAACAGCTGAAATCATACACATCTCCCTGCAGGTACACGTGGGTGATCTGCCCACGTTTCCCTCACCATACCACAGCTTCGTTGCGTCAGGTAGGTATGGCGAGCCTGACGCCCCTGCTGGAAAAAACCGGAGCCGTGGTTTCCAACTCCGCGTTCGACTGTATTGTTTTCGCGGCGGCCCCAAGCCAACCAATGTCGTCGAACTGTTCAGATCCGAAAATTCGGAAGAAAACCGAAAAGAGGGGCCCTGTCAAACGTGTTTACAGATCCAACTTGCGCGGCTTCGCGGCTCCAATCAAAAACGGACGGGTGCGAGCGTCGGACCTTAGTGCGTATCTGTTTTGAGTGGGACTCCTAAACCAAACAACGTCGTTGAACTGTTCAAATCAAAAAGAAGAGAAACTAAACAGGAACTGCCCGGTCAAGCGTGTCTCCGGACGCAATTTGCGTCGAATGTCTTTGCGACCAGACGTACACACACACACATGTACTCCATGTAGGAGTAGTCAGCATCGTTGAGAGCTTTATCTGCGGCCTCTTTGAAGCCCTGGAGTCAGGAATTTCTCACCGATTACAACTCCACCCAAAAAAACGACTTCAAACGCTTTAAAGTACCTCCTTGCAGTTGTGACACGGTGTGTGTTGAAGTCAGGCTCCCAAAAAACAAAAAGTCCGGGGGTCGTCAGACGAGTCGAAAACAAAACGGCCAAAAGAAGTTCGGAACCGCTTACCCAAGGTCGTTACTTAGTGCATCAAAGAGATCGCCCGAGACGGCCACATTTCAGAGGCACATTTGAACAGCACAAAGAAAGAAAAGGAAGCTTGCGCCTGTTGACTGCTTCAAAACATCAGTGGCTCTGCCTTCAAGCCCTCCTGCCTTGGCACTTCCACACGCACAACCAAGCCTAGCTAGCGGCAGGCGGCACGACCCTGAAAACACTATTTCCTACAACTATCAGAGCCGGGCCACTTCTCGAATAGTGCAAAGTGGGGAATATGAGCCGAAGCGCGGGTAGCACGCCAATGTTTTATCGAGGCTGAGCCTGGCGTTTCGCCAGAAACTTGTTTGCTAGTGTCCGCAGAGGTGGAACGGGAAATCCATTTGCGCCTGACAAGTTCACCAACGCGCGCACATCTTGCTGTGCTTGTCGTTTGGGAAAGCTGTGCCTGGATGCAAGGCTCATGCGGGGTTGAGCCGGTGAAATTTTATGAGCCCATGTGCCAGCGCCATTGACTGGGCGAAATGCAAAAGTATCACTCGGGAGCAGAAACCGAACCGTGCGCATGTTTGTGTCTATGGCACAGCCTAAAAACTCGGCACATTCTCCAGCTGCACTGGGGGAATGTAATAGTCCAAATGACAGAGTTGTCGGAAAATTGCAGATCTACACAAAGCTTTTCAAGCCAAAAATAGTCGATTATCTACGTAGCGCAGGATCAACAGGTCCCCTTTGCGCTGCCGCAGAAAAACTGCACTCTGCTCGACCCACTCTTGCTCAGTCCGTGAAATCGTGAGACTTGCCAGGATGGGTGAAACCTGTTTCCTATGGCGGATCCGCGGACTTGTTGCACCGCCTTGCCCATTTGCAGAAAAATGGACTCTTTCATGCTGACGTCAAACAGTCGAACTGTCATAGGCTTCCGCGCGGCCTTGCGAACTCTGCATCGAAAAATGCGGAGTTTGACGTTCTTTTCTTTCAGAAAGACAGAAAACACAGTATTGGCATCAGAGCGGTGCTTGTTGGAATATGTGTCCACAGCCCATCTTACAGCGGAAAGAATGCGCCCCACAGGGATCGAAGTGAAGAACCCCGTTAAGTCATGGTTCCAGAAGCATAAATCAGCATCGTCCGCGAGTCCTGAAAAATCTCCGGCATGGTGCAAAGGCCAAAGGATTGTGGCACGACTTCTCGCATGATTTCTGTAAGTACCATTGCCAGCGCTTTGAACAGTCGTTCGAATATGAAACCACAATATGAAATAATTGGTCTTGCTCCGAGAAGCTACTTCTTCTGTTTCAAAAGAATATATGATGATGGCGGGCGAGCCGCCAGCCGGATTCCCCATCTGTACGGCCGCAGCCAGGACTCCGATAAAACTCTCTGTCTCCAAACGTCTGAAGAAGAACTCGGTGATACAGCCACGGGCAAAAAATGTGACAGTGTGAAACAGCATGGTCTCTTCCATGGAACACCATGCCTGGCGCAGCGGACTTG